AAAGAATGTAAACACAGAGAAAAGAGTTGAAATAGAAGCAACTTTATATTATATGACTAAAACTATAGTTCGCTTAGTTTCTAACTCCAGGAAGTAGACGAAAAAAAGAAAACGTTAATTCTTTTAAATGCATAGTGGAGTTAATGGGAACTTGACAGAAGATGGAAACAATAATTTAAGAATAAGTTAAATTAAGTAATGTCTTATGTAACAGTTATTTATAATAAGAGCTTCATTTCCCATATCCAAAGAAATAAAATTTGCTTTAGTTCTGTCACTGTTTTCGTCGGCTTTCATATAGGAAGAAGAAGCAATGTTGATTCACATACTTAAGGAAAATGGTCGCTGTTTATTTATATTGTTACAAATCGTTCAGTTTTAGTAGCGGTTTTCTTATGAGACAAAGGTGGAGGTATTAGAAAGGACTCTTTAAGCTTTTCTCTAATCATGAAAGCAGATAATTTGAACAAATTTAAAGAATTATCTCTAAAAGTCGTAAAGTTACCCTTATTTTGCATTAACCAGCTAATTATATTTACAGCTTTTACTATACCATCTCCTTTCCGTTTCCTCACGAGAAATGTAAATGAGTTAAAGGGTATTTTTCGGATTGTAAGAAAGAGCGTGTTTTTGCCTCTCAAGGCCAGGCTGCATTAGTTTTGCCAAATCTGATAAGATTGTAATTCTTCGGATTTGCTTTATAACTGTCATCTTTTAAATCATTACGCCGGTGAGAAGTTCTGAGCCAACTTAAACGTAATTAAATTGTGTAGTCTTTGACTATTAGGCGAAGATTTAAATTTTGCTCTCTATCATTATGTTTCTAGACGAAAAAAAATCTTCGTTTAAAAGGTAATTCAAGACGAGCTGTGAAAGGCAAATAATGATAACCTTCTTGGACAATTTGAGTTTATGGCCGATTAAGACACTATGTGTAATGAAGATACATGTTTAATGAGTAGCGAAACATAGTAAATTGGTTACGTACCCTAGCAAGGACATTCAAAATGAAATACGTGCAGTGATGTCTCATGAAATTATCTCTAGTATGTAAAATAGTATAATAAGAAACAAATACTATTCTATAGTTCTAGGCTGAAAATCAGGTGTAAATCAGAGAAAAGAGCTGTATGTGATTTAAAATCACATACAGCTCAGAGTTCAACTTTAGGGGGTGTTGTTATTGCCAGAGTTGTATGTGATTTAAAATCACATACAACTCTGGCACCTGGTGTTCTAGACCAGTTACCAATGAATATACATATTTTGTTTTAATCGAAAAAAAGATACCATTAGTAAATATCGCAATGACTTATTGCTGACGGTTTTTATTTGATCTTAGTATACCTCATGCAAACTATCGTGTCAACCACATGATGATGGAAGTAATATGAAAGGAGAAAAAATGGATCATAGGCTCGTATATTTCAAGCAAACTCAAAAGTCTTTATATACCTCGTTCTGCTCACAGCCTTTCTTTTATAACGGCCGGTCTTTTACAATGGATAGTTAGGCATTGATCGGGAAAGGCACGAACTCGTGGTTATTTGTTATGTTGCTCAGAGTGTACCACATGTGCAGCCTATTTAACACCCTTGAGAAAGGGGATGCTTCAGATTAATTTTAATAGAGAATACCCAAAGGAACAGATCTATGGGTCTTCCAAGCTTCTTTTTCAGCCACAGTCCTCATGAGACGACTTCGGAAGAACTTTAACAACCGCTATGCCACAAAGACACTACGCACTTAAAAGTATGCTTTTTCTGAGATTCGAGCCCGGGCTTAAGGTTATGGCAACCTGTTCTCCTACCACCATGGTAACAAGGCAACTCTCTCCTCACAGCATAGATTTAGTTATTTAAATGACACAGTAAATTGCTTACTCTGCTTATTTTCTGCATTTGTGAAACGTTAGGAAATTTTGACTAGTCATATGCACTTGTTGCTGAAACGAGAGATTACAGTATCTAATGCAACGTTAGTTATTATTGAAAGGTTACGGGAAAATAAATATTAAAAAAGTCAAAAAGAAGCAAAAGAACTGAATATATTTTTAGGAGGTGTTGTTCTCTTTATTGATTTCGGATGTATGTAAAAGAGTGAAATGATAGGTTTCTTTAGAACAGAAGGATGAGTCCATTTTAGAAAAATCTATTACAAGTAAATTTTTTCTATGTTAACGGTTGTAAGTAGCGTGCAGATACTCTAACTCAGGTATCGGCAGCCGTTTTCGTGTCAGTGATGTTTTCGTTTTAGAACAGTTTTTCTTGGTGAATAATAAGATAACTGTATCGAGATAGTAATTAAAATATACTTTAAACATAAAAGTTAAAAGCATAATTATAATTATTATAACAACAGACATAACTGAATGAACTTTATTTTCCTCTTCGATATCAATAGCTCTCCTGATGCTGAAATTCTGACGTCACCATAGTCAAGTCTAGCTTCTAGGTAGTCGTCTTAAAATGAATACAAGCATCTGAATTTTCGGCAGTTGAGCTGCTTCTGTTTTTACTTAAAATAAACTTCATGCGTGAAGATATTTGTTCGCACTTTTAAGTTGAGCTGAAAGCGGACAAAGCGTGAAGCCAATTTATTTTTTACTTACGGATTGTGGATTGGGTTATGCAAAACTATTCTTCGGGTATTTTATAACTTATTTTTATATATTAAAATTTATTTTCGGAACTCAAGTAGATCACCTGAAATTATGAAATGCAACATAGGTTGCGAAATTATGTAATGGGTTATTTGATGATCCCTGGATCACAGGTTGCCGAGGCCCGCTCTAATTTATACAAAACAAAACTCAGAAGATATTAAGTGCATCTCATCTCATTGCTGAATTAGAAGCTAGATTCTTCATGTAATCGCAGACTGCCAATAGCTATCTGACAGCATTTCAGTACATATACGAAATGAAATTGAAAGACATTTTCCCGGATGGGAACCAAAAATATGTTTGTACATGCTCATTTCTGCTGTTTCAAGGGAACGCACGTTTTCAGAGTTGAAGTTAAAAGTTTTTTATGATCTTGAGAGAAGAACAATTAGGAGTCTTTTTCTATGATAATGGAGAAAGGCAAAGTGCACGTTCATTAAATACTAATAAGTTACTAAAATAGTTTGCTGCTCTAAAAGCAAGAAATGTGAAAATTTAAGTGAGCAATGTAGACAAAAATGATCTAAATGCAAAAGAAGCCGAAAAGTAAAGAAAAGAAGTTTTGTAATTTTATGTAATAAAACTGTGAGAACATAAGAAGCATTTTATGAGAGGCTATAAAAGGTAATTTTAAAACGTATAAGTCCGAAAAGGACTTAAAGAACAGTCTGTAAAATGTTAATATATTAGGCTAAACTCGTTTTTATATGTTTAAAAAATTCTATATGTTAATTGTCTTAATTTATTGAAAACATGTTAAACACTTCAGATTCTGTTAGGTTTGGGGGGTTCTACTGTGTTTTAAATTGTGAATAAATAAAAAGTATTCTATTAAGTTCCTCTAACTTTTGTTTTAGAAATAAAAATTATTAACGGTAATAAATTATGTAATAGTCTGACCAAGCCATAAAAAGTATAATTTTTCAAGCGATTCTTTTAGAGGTCGCACTTGTTCACACTTGCGGGGACCCCCAAAATTCCTCAAACCTACCTTGGTTTCACATAATCTCCGTCCTCTGCTACAAATGCTCTTGTGCTTGAGATTTACTCTTCAGCAACTGCTTAGAGCTTTTAATAATCTGCCGGTTTAATCCCGAAATATTAGCAAGCGGAATTTTATCCAGATCAAACGGGGTCTTCAGTGTGCTGTGTAATTTGTTTCTTTGGTTAAAGAGTACATGAAAATAATTCAGGAGTGAACAGTTTTGCGAGTATGAGTGATTGCGATATCTGTATAGAATCTAAAAAGTATTGCAGTAGTCCCATAGAAGCCTAAATTTGTTTTAAAACAAGCCATCAGAAATTCTAATTCATTGCAAAAATATGAAATATATTTTATCTGTTGACTGTACAGATTTTCAGTATTATATTTCGTAATGGTATTACTTTTATAAAAGAAGATACGCGAACGTAATTCCTAGAAATGATACATTTTTAAGGGAAAGCAATTACTATTGTCACATTTTGTAAGATTCTAGGTAAATTAAAGTAAGTTACTTTGTTCGCTAGATCTTTACTTGAACTGTGAAGCGACGACTCGCTAAGTTCCGCTGTATAATTAAGAACACATAGGAAGGGTAGAAAGTCCACTTTATTCAACTCAAGAACATTATGTACAGTTGGCTCTCCTAGTACAAGGGCATTGCCAATACTTTTGGCGGCAACGTAAAATAGAAACGTAAATATTAAAACTATACCTAAATTGAATAATCAGGCAAAGCTGCATAGGGATATTTTAACGCGTAGTTGGCTCTTAGCCCTACCACCGACGTAGACTTAACAGGCAATTAATACTCTTGGCCATAAAATATCAAGCTTAAGTAGCAGAGAAACAATATGGCCGAAAGGCAGAATATGCTTTGTCTGAAGTAACACAGCTTAAATAGCAGCTTTATACCCTATTTTCCATAAGGCGCGAAACTGAAATCTCATTCTGGAAAGCGTGAATTAAAAACAAGAGATACAGGAAAGGTTGATTCCAAAATAAAATTAACTGCTAATAAAATTAAGTAAAACCCCACAACTTTATAACTAAATTATTACATTTAAAAAAAATGCATATCAAACATACAGCTGATTAAATTATTAGAAACTAATCCTCTACGCTAAAAAATTATGTCACTGTTCATATGTCCGATGAAATGGTGGAACACATAAAAATTAAATAAATTAAAAAATTAGATTCTGTCTCTGAAGTTAAAGTTTTTACTATGATTACGGCAAAATCCACAGAGAAGTTTAATTAAAACTTCATGATGAATGAATTTTCATTTTAAACAACAGTGAATTTAGTTTTATTAATATTTTTATGGAAAACAAAAGGATTCAAAATTACCTTCTCTTCTTGAGCTACAGCCATAAATTTAGCATGGTCTTCGTCACTCATCTGAAAGCTTTCCCTCGCATATTCATACATATCTTCAGTGTATGCAGCATAGTTACTGCTGTTTGCCCCTAGCTTGTGCTTTATAGTGTATAGCACTTCGACGTACAGTTCCTCTTTCTTAAAAAGAAGTTATTATACTAAGGAAAAAGATTTTCAGTACACATATGAAAATAAGCATAAAATATAGTTAACATCATTTCTTTCCAGTATAAAAAGTCATTATATAGCACAAAGGGATACATCAATGAGAACTCCCTATTCTCAATAAGCGTCGTATTATTCGAGCATTATTATTTCGGATCAAGGGATGTTTCAAAGGAAAAAATAAAAAAAAAGCTTTATTTCCTGGACCTATGAATATAATAATGTAATTTATGGGCCTATAAAGTAATGCAGTAATGGACCTATGAATATAATTTGTAGCGAATTTGTAGCGATATGTTTCCTAACACAACTGCATGTGTTGTGTTAGGAAACTTGAAATTTTTATTAATTATTATTAAATCTTTTATTTGATAGTTTAACCGCAGTAAATAATTATATTATTATTTATAACTCTAATGAACATTGTTATACAAGGTACACTCATGTCCATAAATTAAAGATAATTCAGAATCACATGGAAGTTGAACTCTAAAGTAAGCATTTTACCTGTAGAATTATCGACACATCATCAAGAATAATATACAAATTAAAGGAAGCCATCAGACGACGCTGATAGTAAGTAACAATGACGAGATTGTAAGAGACGTATATATAAGGAATGGGAACAAAGAAGTAAATTGTTCCTAAGCGTTCTGTAAGCTGCTCATTGCCACAACCAAATAGTTATGACACAGAGGACACATGTGGATGATTTTGTTACGTGACAGAATTATAGGCCGCCTGGAATGTGGCCTTACTCAGATGGAAGTACCCGAAGAACTTCGAATAGCCCAGTGTCATCGCTAGACTTTGAAAACGATTTCAAAATAATAGAAATAACAGTAGCCGTTACAGTGCAGGTCGCCCCCCCCCGAGTTACAACGCCATATGACGACCATTATTTGACAGTAACTGTCAAAAGAAGAAGACGGAGCAAAGCACCAGACCTGTCTCATTAGCTATATTCAGCCACGGGTACGAATGTTTCAAGGCAAACTGTGTATAGATGTTTGGGACAGATTGGCCTACATGCTCGCAGGTCTATCAGATGTGCTAAGCTCACGGTAACTCACTGTGGCCAGTGGTTAGCCTGGAGTAAAGAACATGCAATGTGGACATCATCACAGTGGGCCTGTGTGATGTTTTCAGAGAAGTCCAGGTTTAGCTTAAAGTCTGATTCACGTCGGACTTTCTTGCATTTGGAGAACTCCATATACCAGCTACCACCAAGACAACATCATTGAACGACACCGTTACGGTGGTGAAGGATTGCCTGTTAGAGGTGGAATTATACTGGTCTCCAGAAGAGACCTTCATGTTCAGATCGGGACCATAACGGGCCAAATTTATCGGGATACCATTCTGGAACAACATGTACGTTTGTTTAGGGATGCCAAGGACGCCGAATGGGCAGCGAATGGGCAGAACATGGGCAGAACCTGTGACAAAAAAAGCAAAAATAGCTTCATGCAATCCAGCGGCCCTTCCTTCTCAACTTCCCAGGAAGCTACAGCACACCATACGCAGCCCTCTTTCAAACTGCTAACAGCCCACCACATTCCATAAACAAGCAAAAGAATTCCACAAGATGATATCATTCCATCTATCAAAATATAGTAAGTACATCTCCTTAGAATCTATAGCAGAGAAATAAGAATCTCCCGCCCACCTATAAGAGCATATAGCACCTATAACACAGGAAAATAACATCACACTAAGCATGAAGAGAGAAGCAAACGAAAAGAAATTCTCCCCTCTGTATACTACTGTATAGTAACTGGTTCTGGCCTAGAAGAAAGTAAATGCAGTGCAATCAAAATCTACCTAGGCACTTAGTTGAAAACTGAACCACCAGTCAGAAAAACGAAAGAATGTATTCCAGGCAGAATCAGTAGCTTTCTGGAAGCAACAAAATGTAGCATCACAAAACTCCCTAAAAGCAACATATATCTTCACAGATAGTCTTTCATCGATTCACGTCGTCGCAAACCCGCACCAATGGTCAAAATTAATCCAAAAGATTACAAAAAGAACTTAAAAATCACAAAATTAGCACTTCTTTGTTACCTAGCTGAAAGTAAATGCAGCTGGTACATGCTGCAAAAGGTATCGATGAGGCTGACACTCTAGCGAAAGAAGCAGCAAGAGCTCATATTGCATAACATTTATCAGTGCTAGGACCTTGCTCGCACCTCAAGAAACTCGTAATCAATTAATCTAAAGCTGAATGGCAGAACTGGTGGGACAACACCGAACAAGGGAGAAGACCTATCACCTGTTCTCCAAAATAGACACTGCATCCAGTTCAAATCAATTTACATAATCAAGATCTTACCACACAGAAACGTTCCTGTTCCAGCCGGAAACGTGCTCATAATCGTGGCATTGTTCCTTTCCCCACTTATTTTTATGAAAGGAACTAAGCTACATCAGATCAGTATGTGGAGAGAGAGACAATCTCGAATACTACTTATTTAAGTGATCCCTCACAGCTAAAAATCATCTAAAAATTCCGAACTCAAAAAGCGAAATAAATCGTTTTATAAAATGTTCTGGTAGAAACAACTATCTCAGTAAGGAAATTACAAACATGATGAACTTCCTGTCAATAATAGGCAGAGATACGCAACGCAGTCTCAAATAGCATAACAAATGTACTACCTGAATAAAAACTGAAACAGAAACAATGTCGTGTTTTCAGAAATTTCACAATATTTACTGTAAGAGCAAACTACGTATAACTACAAACAATCGAGCAATACAGCTAGCAATGAGACTTTTAACAATAGAAACCTAATGAGAACCTTCTAATTAATCAAATTCAAAAAGTTCATCACAAGAACAGATGTGTGCAAAAAAGTAGCAATTGCACGTTGAATTGTGAAATGCAAACTCAAACCTCGCACTTAATCATAGTAATTGAGTAGACTGCAAATAGAACTGGAACTGCTTTCCTTAGTATGTAAGTGCGAAAGCCACCAACTGTGAAAGCACCAATGTATAAAAAAATTTTAGTTGTTTTCTTTTTGTGATCTACCTTACCAAGCAACAGAGTTCTAGTACCCACTAGAACTAGAAGGAGCAGAGCTGTGTATAGCAGCAATTCTCAGAAAGAGAAATACTGTCTATAGTATATAGATTTAGCATGGTACTCAACAAAGTTATAGACACAGGTGTCCATAAAGCCTAAGATATTTAAAAAAAAGCATAAGGTTTATAATTTCTTTGATGAATTTACTATTTGGATTTTCACAGACTATTAAGAATTGAAATCATTTTACCTTTTTAGGTGTCAGAACTTCAAAAAAGGATGGTGATCTCTGGCCATCCTGCAAGAAAAAGCGCACAATGTATCTTGGCGTTTTGAAAATAAATTTACTGAAACATGAAAAACATTCCAATATAATATTGATTTTTTCATCCATGTAACGGCAGTGAATCATCAGTGATATTTACGGAGACAACATCAGTGCGGGTAAAGGAGAAAAAATGCTGAAAAATGAATATTTAAAAAGCTTCTGACCATGCGTTTCAATTATTTGCATGTAGCTTCCCAATAGTTTATCTACATTTCCTCCACACATAAACTCTATATTTGATCATTTTCTAAGTCTAACAGTATAAGATATCATATGTATGTTCTAAAGCGATAAAAAAGAAAAGAGATTAATACACTTTCTCTATCTCTATATTATTGTACATTTCTTTCGAATGTGTATCGTTTAACTTGCGTGTCATAAGATTTTGTCAAGTTAGTAAGAATTTACTGGCTTGAGAAATAGAGCTTTATGTGGTGAAGAAATAGAGAGTTATTGTCACTAACAGGTGAGCCTATTCTTAGATTCGGCGTTATAAGAAGAAAGAAATGCAGCCAAACCCCGCTGCAGCGAACCTGGTTTATAGAGATCCACGGATAAAATGAGCGAATCTTTTGGTCCATCCAATTTCCTATATGTTTCGTATTATTTTATACGGTTATAGCGAACCTCTAAAGGTATAAAAATCGGATATAAAGAACCTTATGGATATCTTTGACTGAAATAGTTTTTTCACCAAATTTTGGCAAGTTTTAATTGATTAATCTTTAAAAATCGCTCATACATTATTCATTTTTTATCTTCACCTCCATATTTTCTTGTGTTCTAAACGTAGATTATGTAAAGCAGGCGTAACAGTCAATTCTTGGAAAACCAGGACACACAATCAAAGGTTAGCAGTTCGCATAGCTCCACGGAAATAATTATTCATAATTGTAAACTTTGCAGGGAGATAGGTATTCGAGAAAAAGGTTTGAACCGTTTTTTTTGTACTAGGTAATTTATCACATAAAATTAGTAAAACATATGGTGAAATTAAAACAGAACGAAAAACAAATTTACTGACAGCACATAAAGTTATATAAAAAAAACACAGCTTTCTTCTTTTAATTAAACTTATCATTCGTATTTCTAGTAGTAGATGTAAGAATAGTAATGGATAGTAGATGTGAGAATGCTAATGGATGTTTTTACTCATAAGTCAGCTTTTATGTTTTTGTGAAATAATCCATTTTCTTTTTGAATCGAATATAGCGATTCACTGGTAACAGCGAATCAAACTGAAGTTCGTTATAGAGAGGCTGGATTGCTTTCTAAAAACATTCAGGTTGGGACGTCTGTAATCAGATGAGTTTACATTTATTTCGTTTATATTGTATATAGTTTTGTATCGTCGGTTGATTATTTGGTAATTATTGATTAAAATAAGGAAATATTTTTGTTTCTAAAACGTATTGGACTATACTATGTGTTCATATACATCTTCGTGAATGAAATAGCCTTAAAATATTAAAATACAATGCAGAATTAAAATCAGAAGAACAAATCCAAAATTAATCTTAGACAACTGAAATAAATTAATTTAGAGTAGACATATTTTGAATTATCAACCTTTGTTTTCTTGTTAAATACCATATATCGCCATCTTCAAATATTACATTTCTAAACTATATACTATATATAAGTTAATGGTAATTTGAAATATTGACCAGTTAAATATTCTGTATCTGCTATTAACGAAATGAAAGCTGTTGATCATGAAACTTTTGATTTCTTTAGCTGAAATTTGTTGTATTTTTAAGCAGTGCTCCTTTTTTCAGAATTAATAAATTAAAGAACTTGCCACGGATAATAGTTAAAGCTATAGATAAAACAATAAATTCGTGTAACATACAAAATTGCTGTTATTTTAATGCAGACGTGTAAACAAACTATGATGTGGCTGATTGTCTGTCGGAGAAGCGTTCTCGATAAATGCGTGCAGTGGCTTAGCACTCTCCTGTACAGCACCCCCTGGCGGCGTACAGTGGCGTGTATGAGCATGGGTTCCTATGAAATTCTTAATCCTTATGATGTGCCCTACCTCCTTCAGAAGTTTGTCGCAACATTTACGGGAACACCCTGTATGTATATATATATATATATATATATATATATTAATCATAGGGTGTTTCAGCAAATCGATTAGAAACTTTTAGGAGAGTTAGAGTACATCTGGGAGATGGAAAAACACATTGCAATGCATGGTCAACGCTTTCTAGGCGTGGTAGTGACGACACAACGCACAAGAAACGAAGGACACGAACAGGGTGAGAATAATGTTTATTATGCTTTGTGTAGCGTAAACCAAGAAATGAGAACAAAAACAAACGATCGTCATCGAAGGTGTACGAAAACTTGGACCTGGAACTTGATGAAGGAGCCGTGCGTCATGCATCTTCCATACGATCTTCCATGCGTGATGCAGATCTTCCATGCGCCGGAGATGAGAGGCCTGCATCAGGGTACGAGGTCCTAATTTCGAACACCTTCTTTTAAATGACGATCGTTGTCTGTTTTTGTTCTTATTTGTTGGTTTCTGCTGTATTAGACGTAATAAAACATGTTTCGTCACACTGTTCGCGCCCGTCTTTTTTGTGTTTTGTGTCGTCACTACCACGCAAAGAAAATGTTTCCGACCATGCATTTTTATGTGATTTTTCATCGTCTAGTTATGCTTTATCTCCTCTGAAGGTTTATAACCGATTTGCTGAAACACCCTGTATATGATAGAGGAACATCTGGAAAATCCAGCAACTTTTTTTCCAACAGCTGGCACTTGCCTATAACGGCATTAGACACTCCTAAGGCCAGAAGTGTTGGCCATTTCATTGTGGAGGCATATAATATGAGGCTACTGTTACCTCCTATGAAGAAACAGATAATTGTTACATCCACGCCTTCTCTAGGATTCGAGCCCGGGCCCTTAGGTATCGCAATCAGGCTTCCCTAACCCTATACCGTTTGGGCGGCAAAATCCAGGAAATTATCATCTTCGTATAGGAGGTCTGTTTCTGAAATTATGGAGAACAACGTAATATTTCGTTAGTACATAAAAAGCTCCTAAAAAGTAGGAGGGATGCTAGAGTAAATAAGGTAACTATGCTTATAATGAAAAGCAATATTTATAAAAGCAAAGATAGGAAAAACAGAGATATATTGCCTGTTTTAGAAAAGCACTCCGTGCCCCCAATTCTTCTTTTATTTACAGATTATTATACAGGTATTCTTTATTTGTTTTTATTTTACTAGTTTACAATGATCTAACATCAAAAACACCATAACTGAGCCTTGAGGAGAAATGCACTCTTTTGTCCTATAAAAAATGCACTATAATTTTGGGCTATAAGAAATAAAAGTTTCACAAAATTTAAAAGGAATAAATAAAATTAACTGTTTTTAATATTCTTAATTTATTTCGTTTAATAAAGTTATTATATGTAGGCTTTCTACATGTGTCTAAAATTGCTGCATTTAATTTCAGAGGTAAGAATGAGAACTGAAGCACATTAGTTTAGTTAAATGTTTATACATTTTGGTGGAATTAAGTTTATTTTATCAGTGGCGTGCAGAAACTTTTAAACACTCAAATAAATGCAAATTTAAATGTTTGGAAAAGAAGAAATAAAATACAAGGAGAAAAACAACAAAAAACAAAACAAAAAACAGCAAAAGAAATTATGACAAATTACTTTCTAAATGAAATCTTGTTTTTAAAACCACATCAAATTTCAACACTATTAAAGAACACTGAACTTGTTTGAATTTTTTCATGTCCCGTCAGCCTATATACATAGGTAAGAGAGGTAATGTTTTCGGTTCAAAAGTTCGATAGTGAATTTGCAATGAATAATCCCGAATTAGAGTCGCTATAATATGTTTTTAATATTTTTACAATGGCGTCTGCATGTGTGTATGTGAATGACCAATTTTTCGCGCACTATAACTCTTACTTCAGAACTCCAAAAAATATTATTTTTCGTATTTAAACATATGAAGATTTGATTACATTTTGAGTAAACTTACACAGCTGGATGTTGTGATTTTGAAAACCATAGTAGTTATTAATGGACAGTCGGAAGTGGTATTTTAATTGAAGCTAATAATAGCTATGCAGCAATAAAAACTTACTGCTGCATATAAAAACCATAACATATTGCTGCAAATGAACGAACATTGTTTATCGATACCTAAAAATCGCGGAAATACACGTTGAGATCAAAATGAATTGAGATTTGTTGGTACTACAGAAAGGGAAGAAGAAAATTAATCATTTCAAAATATTAATTTTAAATGTATTATAAAAATTTAATTTTCTTTAATTAAAAACCAATTACATTTTGTTATTTAACAGGCCAATAATATACAGTTTTCAATAAAAACTAAAGAGGCAAACATTTGATTACTCAGACAGGAAAACCAGTTTTTACACATGAACAGTTTTTACCTAGTATAATGTAATCCAAAATTTCGTATTGCAGATCTTTCTATTTAACGGAACGAGACACTAGGATTTTGTTTGCAAAGGATACTGAAAGTGATAAATTAATTAAATCCTTTCATTATTTAAAGCATGGAATTGGCAGGAGGTTATGCTTTGGCCCATCAGATCTTTTAATAGCTATTTAAACAAGAAAAGCGTTTGCACTTTTTAAAAGTTCCTTTCTTGCACGCATGCTCATTAAGCAGGGAAGCTAACTGAAAAACAAGCAGTAGAACTTAAGTATTCAGACTAACTGGAATCACAAGCTATCCAGATGTTCGAAAATTCTTAATAATAGGGTTGTCTTTTCCTATGAGGGAAATGCGTATTTACTAAAAATCAAGGAACTGTATTTATTTATTTAGTTATTAAATAATGAAGGAATATTGTTATAAATTTGTTTGAACTTTTATTTTTAATTAATATAGGAAATTTGTTTTCACCTTTTTGCATTTTACAGTTAAAAATAATTTTATTGTATTCTATTTCAACACAGATTTTACAGGTCAAAATATTTACACTTCGGGAAAATAAGAACTGTAAACTAAAAATCAATTAGTTATGGTAACCGATCAACATAGGGCAGTCTTTTATGACAATAATCACGAATGGCCATGTATTTAGACCGCAAAATAAATAAATCATTATTAAGGAAACGAGAATGATCCCACCTATTAATAATCCAGGTGCAAGAAAAGCTGTTGATACCTGGAAAACAGATATAAATGCATGAGAAGAGCTGAATTTAATACCGTTATTAATGGAACCCACTTAATATACCCTTATTCCACTCTCAATTTATATACGAAGGCAAACATATTGGATGTCAGTGATTAAAAGGAAGGTATTCAATAAATTGCGTTTTCTTTCTTTGGAAAAGAAGTAAGATTTAGTTTTAATTTCATTAAATTATAAGTACATTATAAGATTGTATTACTATAAGCAATATGAATAAAGAAACGAGCTACAAGGTCACCTGTAAGGAGATTTTTCAGTTTTTAACTACTCTAACATTTGAGTTGAGGTGAAATAACATTGCGCTAGAATTAGTTCCATTAGCATTAGACTTACATGGTAAAGATTTTTACTAAAACAGTTATTTAAGCTACGAATTGGAATTAATAACTTTATTTTGTACGACTTCCGACTTTCTTCCTTTAAGCCAAGCTCACACTTTTAGGTCTATTCTTCAGAAGACAACTGTTTCCCACAGAAAATGCCCTGAATTACTATTTTCTGTCCCAGTATGAGGCTACATGGTTCTTTTTATTAGCAAGAAAATGAAGTCAAATCTTGTTTTGCGTTACTTTGGTAAAATCTGATATCTAACAATCAATTAGAGTAAATTAATGAAACAGAGTTTATATCAGGATGACGAGACATAGTTTTTGTTGAATGATTTCAATCTTTTGTTTAAGGCCATTTGCATTTTGGATAATTTCTTTCTCAAGTCCTACGCAATTCTGATATGCTTTCTAAAATTAACTTTTTAGTATTCAGAAAAATACTACTGATATCAGCTTAGGAGTACTGCCGGAAAATCGTCGATGTTAAACTTCTAAGAAATACTTTTATCTATTAAATATTATTTTAAAACGTTTTAAACATATATTTATTCTATAGCAATATTAGAGTCATTTGTATGAAAAACCTAAAAGTAACTTTGAAATAGCACTCAAAAAGTAAATATATACATGATTGGAAATACATGTGTTATTACAGTGATAGATTTCTCAATCATACTTTCGAAGCAGCTATATTAATTTATGTGACTACAACATTTTACAACCGAATGGTCGAGATCGAAAACGCAATAAGACTTTGTAATAAAAAATAAAAAAAAATAGTCATTCCTTCTACCACTAATGCAAAAATTTAGTTTGAAATATGTATTATGTGGACGAAATTTACTTGTTTGGGTGTCATAAGGGATTTCGGTACGGGAGGAAACTTCGGCTCTGGTGGAGGAGGCTTGTCCTTTTCACTTTCTTCCTGCAAAAAATAGTACTGTAGATAAGTATTAAATATTTTTACTTCAAAAATTTGACAAGCATTAATGAATAAATGTTTAATTTTTAACAAAATAACATGATAATAATTTAAGTACATAAGAGCTAAAATCCAATATTTATATGCACAAAGGAACAGGTTTCTAATTTGGTGTCCGCCGATAACATCGCGGCAAAAACATGGCGGACGAAAACGTCGCAGAGAAAACAACGCAAGGCGAAAACGTCGTGCTACAAAGCATCGTGGGAGAAAACATCGCAAAGAGAAAACATCGCTGTTCTAAAACATCGTGGTACAAAACATCGTCGTCGAAAATAAAGCGGTTCAAAAACTTCGCCGTTTAAAAACATCGTCGTCGAAAATATCGTGGTAAAAAATAAAGTATCTACAAATCATCGCGTGACGATAACATCGCAGACATGCTTTTTCAGACTTTAATAACTGTAAATAGATATTCCCATAATAATTGTGAGCGCAAGATAGAAAGAAGGATAATTGTTTTTCATATTTTATATTAACTAATAAATTTTTGCTGAGAAAATAAGAAGGAAACTTAAGCATAGAAAATTAATGCAACTTATAGCACTTAATAGAATTTTAAACCGGCATAGTTTAACTAAAAAGACCATTAATAAATAATTTTTTATAAAGTTTTTACTGGTAATTTTTCATAAAAAGTATAATCTATAAGTTGCATTTAATTTTCTATGCTTAAGTTTCCTTCTTACATTTTCCGCAAAAATTTAGTTAATAAAAAAATGTGAAAGTAAAAATTATCCTTCTTTACATCTTGCGCTCACAAATTATTATGGGAATATCTATTTAGAGTTATTAAAGCCTGAAAAAAAGCATGTCTGCTATGTTATCGTCACGCGATGATTTGTAGATACTTTATTTTTTACCACGATATTTTCGACGACGATGCTTTCAAACTGCGAAGTTTTTGAAACGCTTTATTTTCGACGACGATGTTTTGTACCACGATGTTTTAGAACTGCGATGTTTTATCTTTGCGATGTTTTCTCCTACGATATTTTGTAGCACGACGTTTTCGTCTTGCGTTGTTTTCTCTGCGACGTTTTCGTCCGCGATGTTTTTGCCGCGATGTTTTCAGCTGTAACCTTCTAATTTAAGCCAATCAGTGTAACGACTGTTTGCTTAAAATTTAAATTTGCTCTAACACTGCATTTGATAATTTGTCTGTAAAATTATAAGCCTTTTTTAAGTGAAGGCATATAAGCCTGTGTTAAGTAAAAACGTTTCACCAATAGTTAAGATGCGGTCATTATAGTCATAAATTTCAGCAGCATTAGAGTGGCACCACGGAAGACAGATAAAAAATACATCCTTAGTTTAGTTCCCCGCAGCTGAACGTGCAATAGCTGAATTTTTGTGGTGCTCTGTAGGTATAATGTAAATAACAGTCACCAAGTAGAACATGACTAAGTATATGGGCAGTGCACCAGTGCGAACCTAGGCAAAAGTAGCCCATAAGCAGTTTTAATGGTCTCACACATCTAGAGGCGATCCCGAGAAGCCGAAACCCCCAAGGACAACTTTTAGCAATATTTAACTAGCGATCATACAGCCTGAGACAGACGTGACAGTATCCTACAGCCTCTGTCAAGCCTTTACGATCACTTTAGAAATGGAGGCAGGCAGCTAATCTCCCCATACTGTTCACTTCAAGCATATGGACGTTACAAGTGACCAGCTCATGGAGAGTATATGGGGAAATAAGGCTTTACCGTCAGGGGAGCTTGCAAGGTGTTTTTTCGCTCCTTACCGCTTTACTTCGTAGTTTAAATGGAAAGCACGTCCAGCTAGTAATTGGAACTTCTGAAGTTTCAGTCCCGGTACAAGCATTGCCCATTTTTCACTTCTCCTGAATTGACAAACCTAATGACCCAACAAGCTGCCATAGTTCCATTATTGATACTGTAATAGAACTATTCAGGCCATACTAGAGCCAATAAATAACACTCAGGAGTCGTAGAACTTCCCATTCTAGCAGCCGAGGCTCAGCGTTCACCATAACTGCAGAGCTCAAGAACCACCATCTGGCTGCGACTTCCATTCCGGAATCTCAAATGCAGATGTCCAGACCCAGATAACGCTAGCCGGTCTTTTGTTGATGTCGTTGAAATTTGTTATATTTTGTAGCTATCATTAGATACTAGAATACATATGTTTTGTTTGTGTTTTTTAACATGGTAGCTCTAATACATTTGTTTATGCTTACCCTTATATAAGCATTACATAACATTTATGAACATACATTTCATACATTTACAACCTGAGATAAAACTGATTAAAACTTCCATGTATGCTAACAGTAAAAAGAGTAAAATTTTGGAGCAGTGACCTGTAGCATCTGAAATCAAAAGCTTGAAAGTTTACGGAACATATACAGGTTTAAAATATGGAAGAAAATAATTCACAAGCTTCGGTAAGCCGCCAGTCGAAACACGAACTAAATAAAGTATGCATATTCAGAAAGTTTAATAAAGAAACAACCGGAATAAATTTCATTATAAGACATTAAAGTATTTCGGGATTTCTCTGGAACGTTCTCAAGCGTCTTTTTAGGTTAATTTATGAAATACGTTATCAAATTAAATTTAAAATGTTTTCAATATTCTCCAATTAAAACGAAACCAATATAAATCATACGCGCAGTTTATATAATCTTTAATATATGTAAATTTAATCAGTGTAAATATATTTGCTTTTGTAGCAAGTTGAGTTCAAATATTTTACTTAATAATTTAAGGAAATTCTTGATACACTAATAAATTTTCTTTTAATTTTCTTTAATTTGAAAATTTTTCCTTTGTACAAAATTGTTGCATTGTAGTATGAGGATGGATGAAAAAGTAAAATGAAATGATTTGAAGAAAGAAGCAAAGTGAAGTTTAAACTAATGGTGACAAGAGCTGAAGCAATAATGGATTTTTAAAGGATGTAATGAATAAAAGAAATTTATAAGCTTTTCTAAGGGGTGTCAGTTATCAGGTAACTGAAGCATGGAAAAATGTAACTGTATTCTTGGTCCTTTTTTAAAGGTTTCAGGAATAATATTAATAATGGATGTGAAGAGCAAAATTAAGGCTTTGGAAATTCAAATAAGGCTTTTCTACATATCCTGACAAGACATATTTATTAAATTCCCAAAGAACAAGTTGTATATTCATGTCGTTCATTATATTTAGGTAACTATATTTAATATATGAGGAGTTTAAGTGACACAAATAATGATTAGATTTAAAGCTAAAAATATGCGTTAACATTCTGTCTAGAGATATCTAAAATCAAGTCTGACAGAAAATTCAAATACAGGTTATTATTAATATTGACAAGATCTTAATTTTATTAAATTTCCAAGGGACAATTTGTAAGCATACATCGTTTCATTATATGTATCTAAATCTCAGACATAAAATGAATATGATTAGATTTAAATATGGTAAATATACATTAATAGCTTCTCTGAAGCTGTCTAAAATAAAGCTAGAAGGCAAAATTTAAACTTTGAAATACATGCAGGTCATATATATTTCACACACAGATCACATATTTACAGCAGTGCACTCGAGAATATCATCTTTAGCAAAGTATCTTCGTGCAGGACTTTGAAGATGAACTGATACTTTTCTGTAATATATTAAAAAAAGAAAGAAAGCCAAACTTCATAATTTATTTCCTTAAAAGATTGAAATATTATAATGGCGTTTGAATAACACCTTGTTATTCTTAAATGAAAGCTCTAGTCTTTACAGAACTGAACCTTACCTGAACATAATTTCAGGTATAACAAAAAAAAAAAAAATCTCAAAGTTAGGTACCAGGCAATTGTGGTAATTGAAGCTATGTCTCTTGGTTTTGCTTTTTAGAGTTTGAAGCGAAGATGAAGAAATCAAAAGAAAAAATCTTGGATGTCAAGAAACAGCCGAAGCGAACTATACAAAGATTCGAGTCCAAGTTGAGAACTTTTATCGCCTCCAGACATCGCCAAACCACCAGAAAATCTCCTCGTAATAGCGCAGGATCAGCCCGATGGGGAAAAGATTATCATAATGGAAATTCTTCTCTTTAGTTCCACTGTGACAGCTAAAGTAATTGAAAGCCACGTATTTCTGCCTTTTTCCTTTGCACAAAGAGATAGAACTAAAAGTGCTTACATATTTTTCTGGATATGTATAAACACTCTCTCTTTAGATATCTTTAATCTTCTTATGAGTATAATTCCAGGAAAAATAGCCATACAAATTTGCATTTTATTGGAATATCTTTGCTCAATTAATTAACTTTTATTTTTACTCCCAACGAACTGTTACGTTACATTTAACGTTATTTTTATTTCTTATGAAACAATTAGATAAACTCCTTCTGCTTTTATTTCATAACCAAATTTGCTTTGCTTTAAAATGAAAATACAAGTAATACATTTTTTTACTTCATCTATTTGAGTTCATCTACTATCTATTATCTATCTCATACTTCATCTACTATCTATCTCATAAAATATGATAGCATTTTTGTCTACACCATATATTTTAAATCTGTAAGGTAAACATATTAAAATAAAATAATCAACTTTGTGGTGAACTTAGGCAATTCAGAATAATTTTTAAATCAGATCGAAATGAAAAGTAGCTAATAATTTCTTTTTAAAATTTTCAAAATCTTTTGTTCCTGTAGATTGGACTTAGAATGAAATACTTTTGTCGTTTTACTTCTGACTTGTTTTAAAACTATGAATCATCAAGCGTTTGCTATAGAAGAGACAGTCAGGCCAAGGCTCGTAGACTAAAGTACACTGAGACTCATTATAAACAGTTACACTATAAACATGATTTCAAATTTAGCTCTAGAATGTATGGACAGTATCCCTAAACCACTGGATCGTTACTAAGGGAATCGCATCAGGTAATTTTAGAGTCTTCAGAAAGTCTTACATTTGGTACTTAAATAACAGGTGT